GCGAAAATAAACGTGCTTTGACTTCTGTGTTGCGAATTTGACTTATGTGTTGCGAATTTGGCAAACGCGTTGCGAATTTGACTTCTTTGGTTGCTATGAGAGATGGAGATAGACGGATTACGTCGGAGATGGGGACGGATGTCGCCGTAGAGAGTGAGAGATGGAGATGAGACTGAGTTGTGATTTAGGGTTTTAGGTTATGATTTGCGATAATACTATTTACATTTATGTTGCGAAATTAATATTGCGAAAATAAACGTGCTTTGACTTCTGTGTTGCGAATTTGACTTATGTGTTGCGAATTTGACTTCAGTGTTGCGAATTTGGCAAACGCGTTGCGAATTTGACTTCTTTGTTGCGATTTTCTAAATTCGCGTTGCGAATTTAGAAACTGGGTTGCGAAATTGGAGTTCGCGTTGCGAATTTGTTGGTCATTTTCGCAAATCCAAAAAAAGTTGGTTAAAATCATATATTATAAGGTATTTTCGATCACTGATGTTATTTTCTCTTTTAAATATAGCGTATTTTATGATTTGTGCTTTGTTAAAAAAAATGAAAAATTTTAAATTTAAAGGGCATGTTACACTAATCGTGCCTTGAATTTCAAAATTTTACGTTTGAGAGTGTGTTTCATATATATGTTTTATCCGTTGATTTATATATATATTTATATTTATATTATTACTTAAAAATTTAATTGAATTTGTATTCTGTATTGTGATTAATCGATTCTCAAATCAACTAAAATGATTAAAAATATTTTTATAATTAATAATTAATATTATTATAAAGATATTTTTATCATTTTATATTTTATATATCCTTAAATAAAATAACTAGAAATATAAAATTGAAATCAAATACATAATCAATAAATTTATAATAAATTCTCCTATCCATCAAAATATATTTTTAAGAACAACTTGAAGATTTTAGATTTTTTTTAGATTTTGTTTTTGAAAATATTATATCATTTTTAAATTTTACAAAAGGTAGATGAAGGCTACCATGTATTAATGAAAATAATTAACCCTGATCCTTATTTGCTCAGGTTCTAGTAATACATGAATTAAATTGTCCTGATTTTTTTTATGAAGGACCGAGTTGCTCATGATTCTATAGTTTAGGGACTATTTCGGTATTTAATCCTCAAGAGAGGGAAAATAAGTAAGACGTATTAATACGGCAGCGTTTCTATGCATTCTACCAAATCGGAAAAACATGTGGCGGAATGTAAACGACGAACAATGAGAATTGAGAACCTGTAGTACAAGTAGCCGTAGGGAAGCAGAAGATGGTCGCTGGACACGGAGGATAGCTCTCTCTCCTCTCTATATTTCTTTTTCTCCAATTTCAAAGTTCAATTTCTCAGATGTTCATAGACTTTCACCTTTGTGTGCTTCATCCGATAATATTTTTTGCAAAATTTATAACTCTATAAATAAATCTTTTCTATTAATATCAAATTCTTCATCATTTTTCAAATTAGACTCAAGATTTAAACAACATTTTTTTAATTCGTCATCAAGTAATGAAATTAATTTTAAACCATCAAACAAAAAATCAAATATAGACTCGAAATGTTGCATTTATTCAAATCTATTTTTAAATTGAACAAGAGCCATATCTACAAGAATAATAAAGTAATCTTTTCTAAATGCTTCTTGATAAGATTGTTGTTCTCTTTCGATATTTGAAATTTCATCAAACTATTTTTTTCTATAAGAAATACGTTTTTAGGAAATTGAGGTTCAACCCCAATATTATATGCTATTTCTTTAACTTCATTAATAACATTGTCAAACTCAATTTCCCTATATTCTTCAAAGCAATTAATTAATCCCTCTAAGTTTTTAACCGCAACATCAAGAAGTATATATTTGGATTGTAATTTCTTACTAACTAAATTAATTCTAAATAAAATTTCATGTCATATAACTAAACTTAAAATAAATTCAAAACTAGAAATTTCACCATTTACTAGTGATTCAGCATCTCGACACACTTTTCCATTATCACTAATTTCGACTAATCTTATTAAAGCTTCTCTTATTTGAGAGAATTGAGTTTTTATTACTTTAACACTTTCAATATGACTTTTCCAACGAGTAGCGGATAATGATTTAAATGTTAGTTCATTTATAAATTCAAGTAAAACACTCCATCTTTTTGTGGAACTAGAGAAAATATTATAAATTGTTTGATATGTACCAAACATTTTTTTTGACTTGTGGCAAGAATTTGCCATATCACACAAAACTAAATTTAAACTATGACACCCACAAGGTATATAAAAAGCTCTACGATTTATATCAAGCAACCGTTTTTGTACACTATTGTGTTTTCCTTTCATATTAGCTCCATTATCATACCATTGACCACGAACATAATTAATATCCAAATCAAGAGATTTTAGAGCATCTTGTAAAATATTAAAAAGTTTTAGACCGGATGTTTCTTCTACAATTAAAAACTCTAAAAAAATTCTTCTACTTTTATTGGAACACTTGCCACATCCACGCATCTTATAATTAAAGTCATTTGTTCTTTGTGACTTGCATCCGGAGTGCAATCAAGAATTATAGAAAAATATTTTGCATCTTTAATTTTTTTAATAATTGCACTTTTTACATCCGATGCCAACATTTCGATTAATTCATTTTGAATTTTATGACTAAGATAATGATTATGTGTTTCTTTGTCTTGAATTAATCGAAAATGTTCTTTCATCACAGATCAAACTCAGCAATCATTTCAAGTATACCTAAAAAATTACCATTTTAATTTTCATAAATTTTTTCATTTTTGCCACGAAAAGCCAAATTATTTTTTGCTAAACATTTCACAACAACAATAATTCTAACCATCACTTCTTTCCAATGTTCAACATCTTTTTTTATCATTTCTTGTAACTCTTTATCAATTGTTTCATTTTTATTTAACCTAATTCGTGTTTCGGTCCAAGTTCTTAAATTAATCATATGATCAGAACTATTTTCATGTTGTTTTAATGTTTCACCTAGATGTCTCCAATCATTTATTCCTTCAATTGCCAAATTACTTTTAGTCCGAGAGGTTTTAAATAACTTACAACAAAGGCAAAAAACTTTATCAAGTTCTTTTGAATACACTAACCATTTTTTATCACAACAATCACCATTTCTTAATTTACAAATAAAAAAATCACAAGAAAAATGTCTACCTTGTGCATCTTTTGGAAAAATTTTATTAGGTTCAATTTTTCTATTAGGCCCTTTTTCTATAAGTAAATCTTTCATTTTTGAATCTAAGTCATCCCACACTATAGGATCAAAAATATTAAAATCACTTGATTTATCTTTATCAACAAATTCATTATTCTCACAATCTTTAGAATTATCAATCGAATCATTAGGTGAATCATTGGAATTTCCAATATTATTATTAAAAGTATTAGGTGAATCATTGAAATTTCCAATAGGATTATTAGAAGTATTAGGTGAATCATTAGAATTTCCAATCGGATTATTAGAAGGTTTAACCGGTCTAAGAATAAATCTATCTAAAGACCCATGGAAAGAATTAGCCATTTCTTGTTCTTGTTTTTTTCGTTTTCTATTTTGGGCACCCGATGATTGTTTTCGAGGTAACATATTTAAAAGTAATCAATAAAACAAATATAGTAGCAAGTAAACAATAAAACAAATATATTAGCAAGGAAAGATACAACCTGACCAGTGACCGAAGTTTATGTTGTTGACTTGTTCTTTCTCACAATCAACTGATCTCGAAAATTAATGATGAAATCAAAATAATCAGAAGGATTCACTCTAAAAAATATCTTGAACGAAAATATTTAGCCACTGTTTTTTTCATCAAACTAAGTTTGCCACTACACAATCAAAATTCAAACAATCAAACAAGCCCATAAACTCAATATTTAGCCACTGTTTTTTTTTCATCAAACTAATTTACAAAAAGACACCTAAGTTTTGGGGACTATAAACTAATTTACCCTTTGACTTTAGTGAATAAAATTTAATTTACCCAAAAAAACTAAATATTCTAAGTTTGCCGACTAAACATGAAAGAAATGAGTGTGCCGACTAAACATGCAAAAAATGAGTAAGTTGAAGCGGTGGAACCCCTTCATTGGTTCTTTAAGTTTCAATCCACTTTGATTATTGACTATCAACCCACCCAGCTCAGGTTTATTTTAGTAAAATAAATATATATTAAAAAAATCAAAGCCAGTCGGGAATGCAAAATTTCATATCGCCCTTTGAATTATTAAAAGACAAAACTTCTATATTTAAATAAACAAAACCATTTTGGATCAAACAAACGAGACTTCCGAACCTAAACCGAGCTTCTTTCTATCTCTTACCCTTTGAAAACCGTAAGTCTTTCCAATGAAGACTCCAACGATCCTCCAATAACCAACGATTAACAGGTAAACAAGACTTTCGCTTCTCACTGTTACAATTGTTTTCCTTTCAAAGAAAAAATAAACCCTCCTCTCTCTGTTACAAGTATTTCGAATAGGATGAGAATTTTTAATCGAATAGTTGCCTTTGCTCACTCCTTTTTCTTGTATTTCTCTTGCTAATGATCCTTCTTTTCTTGAGTGGTTTTTTCAAATCCTCTTTCTTCCCCTTTATGTGCTCGAAATGGTTCACATTTTCTATTTTTTTCCACCGAATCCTGCTTGTCCTCTTATTGATTTTCTTCGTTATTTGGTGAAGTTAAATCCAGAAAATTTAGGAATTTAGGTTGCTTTTTCTTCTTTGATTTTGTGGATGATTTGGTAGATATTGAATTTTGATGATTTGGGTTACTGCTTACAAATTTGGTGATGACGACAAGGATAGAGCTAGTGTGCGGCGCTGGCAGCTCGTTTCACTGGATTTTGGGCTAAAATTTTTAAGTCAAATATATATATACTGTATATATGTGCTTATAAACTGATGCCCCCAATATTATGTTGCCCTGGGCTAAGGCCCATATGGCACATATAATGGGCCGGCTCTGTTGATAGAGATGCCTTTGTAGCACCCAGCGCTTCCGTCATCGGCGATGTTCATGTCAGACGGGGTTCTTCTATCTGGTATGGATGTGTTTTTAGAGGTAAGCAGTCTAGCTTTTTATTAATTGAGTTGTGGTAAACGCCATTTATTTTGTAAATTATTTCTCTTTTGTTTTTATGGAAGTTTAGGGTTTAAGGATGTTGTTTGTTACTTTGTACCAAGCATGCACCAAACTTGTTGGTATATTATCATAAATTGCATATCTTGTCTGAAAGATGGAACATTTTTACAACCAAGTTCCATGATGACATTTTAGAACACTGCTGATGTTTTATAAGTGGAAGCAATTATGTGGTTAGGCGAATGACTGTAAGGAATGTATTTGTATGATATGGTGATCTTAGTTCTTAGTGCTTTTCTAACATTATGGTATCTTATTGCTTAAAGACAAAACTACGAAATTTTTAATGAGGGAGCTGGGGTTAGAAACTTGTAATAAAACTATATTTTGTATGATTTATGGGAATCTCATAGAATGATGATTATCTAGCTCTTAAAGTGATAAGAAACATAAAAAATTCATAATCCCTCATTGATCCATCCATTTATGGTGTTCCTATTAAAATTGAGATTGATGTAAAACTCAGCTTGTATCTTATGGAACTTGAATTACTCACTCCCTCCCTCTCCGTCCTCCCTCTCTCTTATCTCTGTGTGTTGTGCCATGCTATGACTCCATCCTTGATTTCTTTTCTGAATCTTACTTTTGATGGGTGTAGGTGATGTCAATAGCATCAGTATTGGGCATGGAACAAATATCCAAGATAACTCCCTTGTTCATGTTGCAAAACCTAACTTAAGTGGGAAGGTTTTACCAACTATTATTGGAAGTAATGTTACTGTTGGTGAGTGGTCCATCCTTAAAAGTAGCCCTTGTCTGTGGTTTTAATATCAAGAAAAAAGTAATCGCTGATTGAAACTGGGCAGGTCATAGTGCTGTTTTACACGGATGTACTGTTGAGGATGAAGCATTTGTTGGTATGGGGGCTACCCTATTAGATGGTGTTTATGTTGAGAAGCATGCCATGGTTGCTGCCGGTGCTCTTGTGAGGCAGAACACTAGGATCCCATGTGGAGAGGTCTGTGGGCACTTTTTCACTGACATTTGAGTGTTATTCTTTCTTTAAATCATATCTATTTTATTTAACATCATAACTTTTTTATTTGTTCTTAGATGCAAATTTTTATAGTTTGAAGATACATCATACATGAAATAGGTAAAATAGATATGATAGTTACTAGTTAGCAGTAGTACTGAAGTCAGCATTGAACAATATACGATTCTTTTTCTAAAAGCTAGAGATCGTAGTTGTAACTAGTAATGTTTACCCCTTTCTGAAAATGGAAGCATGACCCAACCTGCATTTGTCATAAAAAATGAATGTCGAGGGAGAGGGAACTTGCCACTGCCAAGGTTTGACAAGAAACCTTGGTGGTGGTTTTGCTAGTGGTCTTCTTGAAGTTAAATAAAATAGACTTACACAAGGGGAATGAACTGATCCAACTTTTTAGCTCAAAAAAACATCTTATAAATAAATTCTAAATTTGCTAACATACATTTTTCTTTACAATTTCAGGTTTGGGGAGGTAACCCAGCCAAGTTCCTAAGAAAGCTAACAGAAGAAGAGATGGCATTCATTTCCCAGTCAGCCCTAAATTATACCAATTTGGCACAAGTTCATGCAGCTGAAAATGAAAAGGGCTTTGATGAAATCGAGTTAGAGACGATGCTCCGCAAGAAATTTGCGCGCCGTGACGAGGAATATGATTCGATGCTTGGGGTTGTTCGTGAGACACCTCCTGAGCTTATCCTTCCCGATAACATTATGCCTGATAAAGTGCCGAAAACTGCTTAGGAGATTCAATGTCACTGGGGATTTACGGAGAATGGCTGCATTTCAGTCGCAATAATTTTGGTGGGCCTGGATGAGGTGCACACTCATTCGTCTAACCTTATCGTTGTTTCCGGCTTTTAGAAGTTGAACTTCATTTTGCAAACAAATGATGTTCAAGTCATCCATGGTGGTGTCTTATGTATTTGTGATTGATCTCCGTTGCTTTGATTGATTATGTTTACCGGCAATAAGAATGTGCAAACTGTTGTTGCCAATTATGGTGCAAGCTGGAAACTCCAAATTTCCTGTTTCTTTCAACTACTTTTTGCTCTCTACTAAAGTGATCACCATTTATTCACGTATGAATGCAGATAGATCTGTCAATTCTGACAACTATCAACCTGAATTCATCAATTTGAACTCAAATTAGACTTGCTTATAAAAAGTCTTAACAATCTAAATTTATCTACCCTAAATTCGAATCAGTATAAATCTAAATCGACTCAAACTTGAGAGGAACTAAACAAAAACTGGCCTACTTAAAAAACCTCAAGCCCCAATTCGAATGACCTAAACAAAAACTTGAACTCAAATCTAAAATTAACGTTGTTATAATTAAGCACAAGAAAATAATGAAAATCCATAGAAAATGATCCATTTTGAAAGTTTTTGGATGGTTAACTCCTAATTCTAACATCTAAGGAACAGAACGTGTGAGACCAAACATAAATACATTCACCAAGTAATTTTCGACTGTATAATAATATAATTTCCCACTCTTCTTCCACGTCATTCTTTTTTGTAGATATGTTGAATGGAATAAGTAAAATTTGAAACTTCAATTCCAATCTTTTCGAATAGTTGAACCAAATTGTATATACTAATAAACTGAAATGAAATGGATTAGGAGTTAGGACAAAGTATAAGCAAGAACAAATAAAGGGAAAAAAATAAACTGTAGGTCTCAAGACTTTCTAGGCCACTACCCATAATTTTATATAGCCTAATATCAAATTAATACATAGTTCAGTCCCTGTAAGGAAAATTGAGTTGGAATATAACCGATTCATTAAATATCTACTAACAGCCTAATTGAGTTAGTTAAGTTACAATAAAATTACAATAAAACCTATACTACGAGATATTATTTCATGAACCTTTTTCACGACATCATCATGATTCTAACCAATTTAAAGAATACACATCAATCTTTTTTTTCATGTAATTTACACAGATTTTATTTTCCAAATAAGTTTCTTCAATAATGCATATCAATATTAAATCTAAATTTAAGAATTATTTTTAGGGTATTCATTATTGCCTTTTCTTCTCCAGCAACACAACAAAGTTCACGGTTCATCTTGACATTACAGTGCGAAAATATTATTCGATTTAAAAGAATTAGATGTAAGAGTTTTTTCGTGCGAATCAAAGAAGATGCGGCACGATATTGTGAAATTTATGCGTTCGGATTGATTCGAAACCTGCACTGAGTCCATTAGCTTCACCTTATGATGAATATGTATATATTATTTGCTCAAGGGTGGATTATTTTACAAACTCACAGTGCAGATTCATCGTAAGGTAAAACTAATGAACTGTGGGTTTTGATGTGTTTTTGGAGAATAAAAGGCATTAATGAATGTCCTAAAAATAATCCTTAAATTTAGATTTTATATGTATTTATGAAGAAATTTATTTGAAAAATAAAGTATTTGCGTGTAAATGACATGAAAAAGAAGAAGATAAAGATAAATTATTTTAATTGATTAAGACCATCGATAACATGGTAGATAGGGTTCATAAAACAATTAGATTTGACCAAAGCGTTTTGACCTTCCGCAAAACAACGTTATTTGCTAAATTTATAAAGGGATTTTCAGTTTTGTTTATTTTTTAATAAGGTGATAAAATGTAATATTAATTATATTTTTTTATTAATTTAGGATGATTACAAATATTAATATATGTTCTAAAAACTTCCGATCATTTGATAATGAACGTTTAAATACCCTACAATCATTTATGATCAAACTCAGAATCTCTAGAAATAACAATCATTGAGATTACTTAACAAATGTAATTTTAAAAAGTGTAATTAACCAAAGGCTTAAATGAACCATTGCTCCTTAAACTATACCGTTTGTATTGACTTGCCCCTTAAAATATTTTTTGGGACGTTTTGCCCTCTAAAGTTTAAATCATTTGCCCCAAGCCCATTAGCTTCCTTAAAAAACACGCATATAAATTACATATTTAATCACTTAATTATTTATGTGGTTTTGTTTGAGTTACTCAACTATATTTTTCTTCAAAATCATCATGAAACTTAAGTTTTTGTTACGTTTTTGTCACCCATTTTGATTCAATTTATTTTTTAAAATTTTTAATATATAAGAATTCATTTATATTATATTTTTTACTCCACACATAAATTTAATTTAGAATAGATAACTAATAAACAATATCTTAAATTGTATGTAATTAAAATTCTATTAAAAGAAATATTAATTATTTAATTAAAATATCATAAACGAGGATTGCACAACGTACAATGAAACATTGATCATCCTAATCTCATGCACCCTAAGTTATTTACTTACCGATCTCACATACATCATCAACAACACTTTAAAAAAGTTACAAGTATAAAATATAAAGATCAATTTTTTGAAAGTTATGAGATTTGATTTTAAAATTAAAAATATTTTAATTATATTTTAAAAAATTTTAAATTTACATATATTTCAAGTGTTTTTATGAAACCAAACGAAATTCAACTCATAGTTTTGAAGGTCCTACTAGAAAACCTATAATATCCCTAATCCCCAATTTTTCCTCTTATTTCTTTCTCATCATTCCTTTCTTAGATTTCACAAACCTTCATCGTCGATTGCACTGTTTACATTTCCATCAATCAACATCTTTAGTTGTCTAGTTTTTTTTTCTCCAAATATTTCCTTTTTTTTTATTTTAATTGTTTGAAAACCTATATCTTGCTATGAGAAATAACTTGCAAAAATCCGATTCCAACTTTTTTTGGTGTGGATTTCTTTAGAATTTGGATGCAATTTTAATAACTATTTTCTACTTAAATTTTGGTTTGGTTTCGATTTCTTTTGTTGTTGTCAATTTTATTATTTATAATTTAAGTCATATGTTATTTACATTCCATATAGCTTAATATATTATTTATTATTCATCGTATAATGTTATTTATTATTACAAATTAAATTTATTTGTGGAGTAAAAAAATATTATAAATGAATTTTTATGTATTAAATTTTAAAAATAAATTGAATCGAATTGGGTGACCAAAACATAACAAAAATTTAAGTTTAGTGATGATTTTGAAGAAAAAAATAGTTGGATAACTCAAATAGAACTGCATAAATAGTTAAGTGACTAAATATATAATTTACCCATATATTTTTTAACTGAATTAATGGTTTAAGGTAAATAAAGTTACAATTTAAATTTTAAGGAGTAAAACATTTTGAAAAATATTTTAAGAAGTAACTCGGAATAAACAATATAATTTAGGGGGAGAATGATACATTTAAAGCTTAAATAAATGAAATGAAACTATAGAAATAAGCAGATAAATAAATATGTAATTTACTTTAAATATCAAGTAAAAAAAGTCGTTTTTCGTCATTTCAAAATATCTTTCTTTGTCAGTTTATTTTTAATATTCATTTTCTGTTGTTCTCTTCCGACACTCTTCAGTCTGCCAGAGACTCTTGTAAATAGGGGTTGTCTCAGGAAAGGTGGACTAATATACGGTTAATATACGGCGTGACCAGATACATTAAAAGATATTTAATAAAATCGGTTTAGTGCTACTGGAAATGTTGAGTAATAATAATGTTGTAGGTGGAAATCATGAAGAAATATTAAAAAATTTGGCAACCGACAAACCTAGCTTGTCAGTTTGTGTCGATACAAATAAATAATGTATCGATCCATAGCAATATAATATGTAAAAATATGACAAAATTGATCTCGAAATGACCAAACCGGTAAAGCACTACCAGATATGTTGAAAGTGTCGATACTTTAATATAAGCATCGACACTTTTGGAATTTAAAAGAGAAACAGTAATAGCGCCTATAAAGTGTCGATACTTTATAAAAATGTATCGATCCATAACAATATAACAGGTAAAAATATGATAAAATCGGTCTCAAAATGAAAAAACTGGTAAAGTGCTACCGGATATGTTGAAAGTGTCGATACTTTATTATAAGTATAGACACTTTTTGAATTTAAAAAGACAAACAGTAATAACGCCTATAAAGTGTCAATACTTTATAAAAATGCATCGATCCATAACAATATAACAAGTAAAAATATGATAAAATCGGTCTCAAAATGACAAAACCGGTAAAACGCTACCAGATATGTTGAAAGTGTCGATATTGTATTATAAGTATCGACACTTTTGGAATTTAAAAGACAAGCAGTAATAGCCCCTATAAAGTATCGATACTTTATAAAAATGTATCAATCCATAACAATATAAAAATATGACAAAACCGGTCTCGAAATGACAAAACCGGTAAATCGCTTCCGGATATGTTGAAAGTGTCGATACTTTAATAAGTATGCGTAATAACTTATCGATAATTTTAAAGAAATAGGTAAATATCCTATCGAAAGTATCGACAACTGACATAAAAGTATCGAAACTTTGGGTATTGTATCGATTAAATATAAATAACATATCCGGTGAAAATATAAAGGGCATAGCTAAATTTCCTCTAAAAATATATAGACGACGAACGAGTTTTTGAAATCGAAGTGTAATTGTTGCTGCATTTCAGAAGGCGTTTCTAAAGTGAAGTTTGTTTGTTTGTTGCTGCAGTAGAATCGAAAAGTATGTTGTTGAAACCCTAGTTTTTTATTATTACAGTAATCGAAAATATGGTTTTTATGTGTTGTTTGGGGTTTTTTAAGTAAAGAAGCATTTGAGATCGATTACAGGTAGAAAGTGATATTCTAGGTAAAATATAAATATCGATACT